CTCTCTCTCTCTCTCTCTCTCTCTCTCTCTCTCTCTCTCTCTCTCTCTCTCTCTCTCTCTCTCTCTCTCTCTCTCTCTCTCTCTCTTTGTTTTTTGCACACATGCACACCCCCCACCCGCCCCCCGAGCTCCTTTCCACACAGCCTGTCTACCCATTTCCGATTCTCAGCCCAACCACACCGTATGAACTGATGGCCCTGAAAGATGTCATCGTCTCATAACAATATGGCCTCATCCGATTTCGCTAGCTTTGACCAAATCTGTCTTAATTAAATCGTAGTGTGCCAAGGCCATAAAACTCTTGTACCTTTGATAAGCAGTTTTTCATCTGAAACGACTGGGAGGCTGCAATCCCCCGTAAAAGAGGATTGGAAAAGGCATAGAAGACATTTGTTTTTCAATTCCACCCATCTCTCTCTTGAGAGGGAGTATTTATACGAGAATGCTTTGGACTGATCTCTAGACGTAACTGACGTCAGATATGCCCAGGACCAGCCATTACTGCAGTTAGATAATTAGCTGTAGGCCTCACTCCACTACACAACACTCCAAATGTATCTGGATCTCCAGTTAGTCCCCATACAGTCGGTTTTTTTAACACCAAATCCATTTTTTTATTTTTATCTTTTAATACCAATTCAATTCAACTTCTGGCAGCCCACCAACGGGAGACGTCCAGGCTGTTGCAGTCGATACTTCCGGAAATAGAAGGCCTGGCCTTGAACCATTAGGGAAATACAAGGCCTGGCCTTATACCACAACTGCCGCTCGTCCTATTTCACTGTAGCGCCGTTTTCACATCAACTATGCATTGGATCAACCACTGGCAGGCCAATACATTGAACCTGTGGCCACTTCTGCGCTAACCAGCACTACAGTGAAATCAGGTGAGCTGCAGTGATGGTTTAGACGACGCAAGGTATGGTTTTAAGCATGAGGATGGTTTCAAGGATGAGGATGGTCTAACAATGGTCTTGAGGACGATGTGAAATCAGGTGAGCGGCAATGGTGGTTAAAAACTGACCCAAGGGGCAGCGGTTTAAGGATGGTTTAAGGATGGTTTACAGATGGTTTACAGATGGTTATGGAATACGGATGGAATAAGGATGGAACAAGGATGGTTTAAGGATGGTTTAAGGATGCAATAAGGATGGTTTTAAGGATTAGGATGGTTAAATAATGGTCTAAGGATTAGGAAGGTTTAATAATGGTCTAAGGATTAGGACGGTTTAGTAATGGTCTAAGGATTAGGATGGTTTAATAATGGTCTCAGGATTAGGATGGTTTAAGGATGGTTTAAGGATGGTTTCAATGATGAGGATGGTTTCACAATTGACTTACCGTGAGGTCAAGGGTGCGCAGCCCATAGTTTGTTTGTTGATGTGGTTCGAGAAAGGTAAGGTAGTGATTATGATGTGTGCATGTTTTGTCATGTTTGCTATACACAACTCGAAGAGTCTGTGTGTGGGGGGTCCCGGCTGGTGCTTTATTCACGATGTTCATGGGATGCTCGACCCATTTCCAGCAGGTGCCGCTCGCCACCAATAGACAGGAGAATGTGTGTGTGAGGTGTGTGTGTGAGTGAGGTGTGTGTGAGAGTGTGTGTGAGAGTGTGTGTGTGTGTGAGAGAGAGAGAGAGAATGTGTGTGTCCTTGTGTGCACGTGTATCATGCGAGAGTGAGTGAGTGTGTGTGTGTGTGTGTATGTGTGTATGTTTGTGTGTGTGCGTGTGTGGTGTTTGTGTGTCTTATGAATTATCACCACAACTTCCCCTATTCCGCCCAGATGAGTAGATCCAAAGTCATAGCAATTTTACCTCTATTGCAGACAATGAAGCATGCTTAAACCACTAGTACCTTTGCAATCCGGTTTCGACAAGTTTTAGCCTAGTCCCGGACTTTTAGGAGGCCGGGCCCAACAACGGCTGCCGTTGATAAATCTGATCGGCGGCTGTCGTTTCATTTCGGCCTCCTGAAAGGTCGGAGGCACACTCACTATTTGCCTAACCGACAAAGGTACTAGTGCTTTAAACCTCTAGTACCTCCGAGCCTATTTTTGACAAGTACTGGTCTACCTGCGAACTTTCAGGAGGCCGAGCCCGCCGTTAATAAATCTGATCGGCGGCCGTCGTTTCGTTTCGGCCTCCTGAAAGGTCGGAGGCCCACTCACTATTTGCCGAACCGATAAAGGTACTAGTGCTTTAAGATGACCAATCCACCAATGAAACAGTTTTGCTTGAAAAGTCAAAATGGGGGGGAGGAGGAGAGAGAAAAAATAGAGAGAGAGAGAGTGTGTGTGTGTTGTGTGTGTGTTGTGTGTGTGTGTGTGAGAGAGAGAGAGAGAGCCCTGCAGCATGCAGCATGTCAGCGGCCGGGAGCACAAAGGGCAAGCGCAGACCTCCAAAGGAAACGAGAAAAGGAAATGTTTCTATTGGAATACAAGAGTTTTTTTCTTTTCGAAATTTGAATAGAAAGGGTACACGTTGTATTCGAATACAATACGCACGTTTTCTATTCGACGTGCTCTTCTATTCGCAAAAAGTGGACACACACAGTTTTCATTTCGAAATGTTCAAAAGCCAAGGACCGCGGCCTCCTCGGCCTCCCACGCCGATTCGATTTTGAAATGTCCAACTCAAGGACCGCCGCCTCCTCGGCCTCATCCAGGCAGGCAGCTACCGGTCCTTCGCATGCCCTGCCGCTTGCTAAGCCCTCACCTCAAAATTGTTCACCCTCCCGGACGACCACCAACGTTGAGAGTTAAAAGTTGACGGTCTCAAGGGCATAAAACGCAACCCTGACGGGCTGCGAATTTAACACGGGTTTAAGGGATGATGTGAAACCAGGTGAGCTGCAGTACTGGTCCAAACGACCCAAGAGGCAGTGTCCACGAAAAACGCTTCTGCAAGGCCTCTATCCCGGTGGTGGTAGGATGTTACATGCCTAGTTGGGCGATGTACATATAAAACCGAGGATCCGCAATGTGATAAAAAGGACTGAATCGACAATGCAGTGCAAGTGAAATCTCAACAAGCAATGTACATTCTGATACATACAAAATGGTGCTTTATAGCGCCGGGGAAGACTTAGATACAAGTCCTGACCTGACCGGGACTGACCTGCAAGACAGCGCAGCAGAATGCTAGAATACCAATGACTCGCCCAATCAATGTTGCAACGCAGACCAAACATACATCATCCTCATCACAAGGTGTGAAGGCGCCTGGCGCTACACACAGGAAGAATGCGCCAGGTCCAAATCATGCACAGACGAAGAGGAGGGGAACAGACGAACAAGAGGGGAAGAGACGGGAATGTCGTCAACACCAAGTCTTTGTTACGAGTCCCAAATAATCCCTCGTCAAAATGTCTGAAGCCCAATGTCGAGTCTGGATCCAAATGTCACCAACTCTCTCATAGTCTGCTGATCCAGTGAAGTCAGATAGCGAGAGGGTGAGAAGGAGATGGTGGACTGAGAGGAGGAAGAAGAAGAACTGTCGCTCTCTCATATGCCAGGTACTAACCTGTGATGATGGCGCTGTGCTGCAGGTACCTCGAAGGCGAAGCTGGAGCTATGGCGCTGCAGGTAAGTATCCCTGGCCTCCACCCAATCTCTCTATCTCTAGTACTACTCTAGCTCCTAAGAGCGCCCACCGCTGAAGACTACTGCTAACGCTACTAGCGCCCAGCACTGAAGACTACTGCTAGCGCTACTACTACTCCTGCAGCACTCCTCCAGAGTGCTGCTGCCGAATCCTGAGGACTACCTCCTGCCTCCTGAACTGCACGTGAAGTGCCTGGGAAGTACCTAGGAACTACCTGCAGCCTGCAGGGCGGGCCAGTCCTATATAGTGCTGGCCCGTCCAGGAGGCTGCTCTTGCCAATGCCGAAACGTGCCAGACCCTGGCTTTGAAGCTCAACCAGGGGTTGTCTTGAAAACAGGCCCA